GTTCCAAATTGGTCTACAGAATGGTTGAATCAGTTCACAACTCCAGCCCCAGTGCATTAATTAACCCTAGCTCTTTTCCCTTTGGAATATCACATTCCAAGCCCTCTGATCCTTTAATGTAGGAGCAGCTAAATCTTGTATTATCTTGATTGTGACTCTATGACACTTGAATTGTTTCTTTCTGGCTGCTTGCAATATTTTCTCCTTCACCTGGGAGCTCTGGAATGTGGCTATAATATTCCTGTGTATTTTCATTTTGGGATCCCTTTCAGGAGGAGATCAGTGGATTCTTTCAATTTCTATTTTACCCTCTGGTTCTAGAATATCAGGGCAGTTTTCCTTGATAATTTTTTGAAAGGTGATGTCTAGGCTCTTTTTTTGATCATGGCTTTCAGGTAATCCAATAAATTTTAAATTATCTCTCCTGGATCTATTTTCTTGATCAGTTGTTTTTCCAGTGAGATATTTCACATTGTCTTCTTTTTTTCATTCTTTTGATTTTGTTGTATTGTTTCTTGATTTCTCATACAGACATTACGTTCCAGTTGTTCCATTCTAATTTTTAAGGAATTAATTTCTTCAGCGAGCTTTTGGAACTCCTTTTCCATTTGTCCGATTCTCCTTTTTAAACCATTCTTCTCTCTTATCGGGTATTTGGATCTCTTTTACCATTTGGCCTTCAATATTCTTTGTATCTCTTTACCAAGCTGTTGACTTGTTTTTCACAATTTTCTTACATCACTCTCATTTTTCTTCTCAATTTTTCCTTTACCTCTCTTGCTAGATTTTCAAAATCCTTTCTGAGCTCTTCCATGGCCTGAGACCAATTCATATTTTTTTCTTCGAGGCTTGAATGTGAGATCTTCCACTTTGTTTTCTTCTGCTGAGCATGTGTTTTGATCTTCCTTGTCACATAGTAACTTTCAATACTCAGAGGTTTCTGTTTTTCTATTCTTTGCTCATTTTCCCAGCCCATTAGTTGACTTTTAACTCTTTGTTCAGGTAGGGCTCTGCTTCCTGGGTGGAGGGTGAACTGTCCTAAGTTTCAGGGGTTTTGTGCAGCTGTTTTCAGAGATACTTCTAGGAACCTGTAAGTTTTCAGTTCTTCCAAGGTGGTATGATGTAAGGAAAGAAGTGTACCACTTTCCTGGTCTGTGCTCTGGTCTGTGAACATCCACTAGCCCTCTTTTCTGCCCTGAAACTGTGAGGAGAGCTCCCCCTCCACTGTGGCCACAAGCTCTGCAATGGTAGTGCTCTTCCCCACCTGGGACTGCCACCCAGGATCAAGCCCTGGATCCAAGTAAAGGGAAAAAAACAGCAGAATTCTGCCCCGGGCTAGCAAAAAAACATCCCTGTAATTTCCTTCTGATTTGTTATTTGACACCCCCACCTCTTTCTGGGCTCAGCTGTGGAAGAAGCCACTGCCACTGCTGCCACTGATTCAGTCACTTACAAGGCCTCTGAAGGCAAATTCCTGGTTTGCTGGGCCGGATCTGGGCTGGTGTGGCCTATACTGTGCTGCACTCCTCTCTCACCCGGTGCAATAGACCTTTCCTGCCAAACTTCCAAGTTGTCTTGGGCTGGAAGTTTGTTTTCTCTGTCTTTTGGTGGGTTCTGTTGCTCTAGAATTTGTTTAGAGTCATTTTAAAAAAAGGTAGTTGGTGGTGTTTGGGAGGGAGCTAAAGTGAGTCCCTCCTTATACTCTACCATTGTGGCTCCACCATCTTGGCTCCACCTTGGCAAAGCCTGTTGATACCTATTTTGCTGCCATCTTCTCTCTCAAGAAGAATGTTCTTCAAAGTAAAGAATGAACAAGTATGGTTAAGAAGGCAATTAAGCCTGACAGAGTTAAAGAGATAAGAAATAACATCTGAGCCCTTTAACATGAGGTCAAGCCTACTGACAATCTGATCTCCACCACAACCTCCTCTCAGGTTGAATTTGGAGATTTGCCCTCCTTGCTAAACACACACTCATGGGCCAACAGAAATTTGATTGTTGACAGCCCATGACCTCCAACAAAATGAGCTGGACAAAAGCCTTCCCTATTCCCATTCTCCTTATGTAATTTAGTGCCAGTTTAGGGTCAGGGACAGAGTCTAAAACAAACAAAAAACAACATAATAACCTCTTGATTGCTAAACTAATCAGAGTTAATGGAAAAAAATCCTGTTTGCCTACAAGGACTAAATGTTTATTGGCTGGGCATTCCCACCCCTTGTTTTCTACCAATGATGATAAAAGTCTGCCATCTGAGCTGATACCTCTGAGAGTTGTAGGACCATCTGTCAGGAATGGATCCTTGGGGACTCACCTCTACTGCCCTACTGACTTGTGTTCTTTTGCTGATCTTTTTGTCTCTATGGAGACAAGGATTCAAAAGGAGGAAGCTTCCCCCAGGTCCCATTCCTCTTCCCATTATTGGCAACATCCTGCAATTGGATTTGAAGAACATGCCTGAATCGTTATCTAAGGTAAAGGGACTGGATCTGGGTTTGGATCTGGCTGCTTGGGCTGTAGGAGGAGACACAAAGCTTCAAATAGATAACTGAATCAAGAGTCATGGTGATTTAGAATCCTATGTCATGGATGGTGGAGTCAAGGGCTCTATGAGTGATATCTCCATTAGCAATGATGTTAGGCAAGCAATAGTTGTTTTGCCAAAACTTTGGTAACAGCAGAAGAAATTAAATTACAGAACCAAATATTGGCCCCTTGCAATGCATCATACTAGGCTCTGTGAATACAAAGACAAAAACAAATCATTCAATTAATGAGAACTTCTTCATTAACTTCCATGTGCCAGGCACTGTGCCAGACAGAGGAGAGAAACATGTGGTTAATGCAACTATCTCTCCTTGAAAAGAAAATAGTTCGGGGCAGGACCTGAGTTCAGATCCAGCATCAGACCAAACACTTCACACTTACTAGCTGTGTGACCCAGGGCAAGTCCCTTAACCCCAATTGCTTAAAAAAAAGAAAGAAAGAAAAGACAAAAAAAGAAAAGAAAATAGTTCCTGTCCTCCAGGAGCTTATGTTTTACTAGAGGGATACAAAAAATTCATAGATAACCAAGTAGAAGGTAACTAGAGGACAGATAAAGCATTTGTAAGTGGGGCAGTCAAAAAGTTTCAAGTAGGAGAGAACTCCTGAGCAGGACCTTGAGGGAAGTAACAGATTCTTATTGGAAGAGAGAATGGGAATAAATTCCAGGCATGGTAGACAGTCTGGGCAAAGGCAAGGAGGTTGGAGATAATATAGATAAGAGAGGACATGGCAAGAATGTGAAGTGTGGGATGAGGGGCCATACAAAATCAATTTAGACAATTGGGTTGGAGGCAGCTGTGGAGGCATTTAAGTGCCAAGTCAGGGAGGCAGTAGGAAGCCCCTGCAGACTTTTGAGTAGAGGAATGGCACATTCAGAACTGTGCCACAGGAATAGTAAGTTGTTAGTTGTGCAGATTATTCATTGCAAAGGAGAAATACTAGAAGCAGAGGATTGAACTTGGAAGCCATTGAAAGAATGGATAAAATATCATTTATGAAGTACCTACTATGTGCTCACTATTGTGGAGACAATATAGAGTAAGATATTTTAGATGCATGTCAGTTGCAAAGGCGTTGTGCTTCTTAGGGAAAATTAACAAATTAGTCAGTTGTTTAGTAACTGGTAGTGGTGATGGTGAGGAAGGTGGGGCCCTTCTCTACAGTGACTGCTCCTCATTGAAAGGATGAGTGTTTGGCCTGGACTGAAAGCAGAGCCTAGGTGTAAGGGCAGGAGTCATTGACATGAAAAGGTCAATTACAAAGGCTCTTGAGTAATGGTCCTGGGTCATTTCAGTTATTTTCCAAGGGAATTTGGTGGTAGTTTGATTTTTCTTTCTTCCCATTCCTTTTTCTCTTTCCCTCAGGGTGATTTATTAGAGTGACTAGTTTGAGTGTCTGTATCACAAGTTTACTACAGTAGTGTAAAGAAGGGGAAGGGGATGAGGGTCTTAACTAGTTTAATGGACAAGTGAGGAGGCAAGATGGAATAGGTGTGGGAGACATGAAGATGAATTCTACCAGACTTGACCATAGCTAATTGGACATAAGTAAGAATGAAAAGTCAAATATAAATCCATGGCCTTAAATCAGGGTTGATGTAGGTTCCTCTAAAAGAAGTCTGCCTCTTGGGTCCCTGAAGGGAAATGGGTAAGTTTGGAGGAAAGGGTAGTTTTAGGGGAAAACAAATGAGTTGTGTTGTGGACATATTAAGTTTGCAATGCCAATAGGACATCCAGGTTGAGAAATCCATTTCTAAGCAGTTGGCTATGTGGAGTTGAAAAGTGGTCATATGAATGTGGGAATCTTCTGCTTATAAATAATCATTGAAGCCGGAAGTGCTATGATCACCCAGTTAGAAATTGTAATAGCCTCTTGCCTGCGTACATGAACTCATGCATATGGCATGTTATGAAGCAGTTGTGAGGAGAAATTCTCACTTTCTAAAGTTTCACACTGAATTCATCCTGTTTCTTGGCATTTTCACAGCTGGCTGAAAAATATGGCCCCATCTATACTCTTCATATTGGAACCCGGCGTGTTGTGGTGCTACATGGATATAACATTATGAAGGAAGCTCTAATTGATCATGGAGATAATTTTATGGATAGAGGACTTACCAATGTTTGGAGATGTAGCCAAAGGACATGGTAAGTTTAGTTTTCTGAAAAGAGTCACAGAAAAGCAAAATGTATGGCAAAGTATCTCCAGTAGAACGTCCTCCTCTGGAACATAGTTACTGGTTTCATTTTAATTGTTCTATTCTCAGTACCTAGCAGAAGACCTTCATGTAGTAGGTACCTGGTACCTGCCATTCTGTCATTGTATTTTAGTTTGAAGTGAATAAAATTAAACTTGATCAATGAACTAAGCCAGAAACTCCATAGCCATCATACACACTGTGCCCTCCCCCTTCCAATGTAAGAATAACCAATGTCCTCTTCTCTTCTACCTAGGATTATTTTCAGTAGTGGAGAGAGGTGGAAACAACACCGCAGATTTACCCTGACGACCCTAAGGAACTTTGGGATGGGGAAGAGAAGCGTTGAAGAGCGAGTTCAAGAAGAAGCCCAATGCCTGGTGGAGGAGCTCAGGAAAACAAAGGGTTGGTTTTCAGTTCTTTCTTCCTGGGCATGTAGGGTCCAACTGCTCACCTACTCCCAGTCCTAAATGCTATTTGCTTTGGGAATCATTTTAAAAGTCTCTGCCTTCATCTACTTACCAGATAATAACTCTGCCGGGTCAGAAAACTCCCTTCTTTTTCTTGTGCTCAGGCATTATAAGTTTATCTAGCCTCCCTATAAGTAAAGACATTGTCCAGGAGAATAACATTCATTAGCCTTTAAAGAACTAAGCACCCTATCTAAGTATGATGCCCATATCCCATCTGATTGGAAACATTTCTATTAAAGTTGCTTTTTCCCCCCTTTGGTAACTTGTCTCCACATTAGGTCAGCCCACTGATCCCACCTTCATCCTTAGCTGTGCACCATGCAATGTGATCTGCTCTATCCTCTTCCGTGACCGATTCAAGTACAATGATGAGAAATTTCTCCATCTGATGAACTTGTTAAATGAAAACTTCCGCCTCGTTAACGAACCATGGATACAGGTAAGGCCAGAACTCTCTTCTTATTCTGTGGTTGTTTGCTGAGTTTCAGCAACAAGATCAATATACCATAGCCTCTCATCTCTTAGCCAAGGTCCCAACGCTCATGAGAACACACACACACACATTCACACACACACATGTCACTCAAGGACAATAACATCACGCAATATCTTTGGCTCTCACATAAGCTATTAGGTAGATATCCTGTTCCTAGTTGGCACCTGCACTAGATGTAGATCATTAAAATTGAAGTTATATGGAGAAGTGTTTGACTGGCGCCTGGGGTATCTCTTCACAGATGTGACCAAGTAAAAGAGTTATCAAAAAAGAACCTGCCCAGGATATCCAGGAGAGAATAGGAAGGGCAAGCCACTTAGATGAGTAACCTACACTGATTCTGGTGGTGATCTGGCTCTGCCTCTACAATGGATGGACATGTAGGATGAAAACCTTCATCCACTGAAGCCAGAACTGAAGATCCTCATCCAGCTGAAAAACAAGCTTTCTTTTCCTTTGCCTATGTTCTGTTCCATTACATTCTGGAATATGTACTTACAGTCTGGAATAGGTACTCTAGCTAAACCCTTCTGTGGTAGAACGTAAATTTTTTGAGGATGAAGACTGCTTCATTGTTGTCTATAGCACCATAGCCTAGGACTTGGTTCATAGTGAGTACGGAAAAAATGCTTGATGCATTTTATTAACTTAACGTTAATTGAACTGAATTAATTGCGTACCTTGCTGCCTGTTTATCTTCTTTTTTTTTTCATGTTGGCCATTCGAAGGCAAGTAGATTTCCCCTTAACTCAAATATGAGCTTCTTTTGAACAACGACAAAATATTATGCCATCTGGTCACCTCAGTGGGTAGCACAGCACCAGATAGATTAGTGTTGAGATATTTGACAACTTAAGGTTAGATTTGAGAGGATTTATGAACCTCTTGACAAGGTGGGGATTTGTTTTGCCTCATTATGTGTATTTTCTTGGATGGTTTTGTTTTTCTTTTTTGTTTGTACCAATGTGCAGTGAAGATGAGAGAAAATATATTTTGTCAATGAAAAATTTAATTAAATTTAAAAAAGAAATGGAATCTCTAATTTATAATGAGAGATTTTAAATAGTTTCTTCATGACAGTAAATTCACATGTGTTTGTTTTGGTTTGGGGTGTGTGTATGCAGCTCTACAACTTTTTACCAGCATTCGGAACATACCTCCCTGGAGAACACAAAAGAATTTTTAAAATTAATGAGGAACTTAAAGATTTCATTTTGGAAAGAGTGAAAGAGCATCAGAAGGTCCTGGACTCCAACAACCCTCAGGACTACATTGACTGCTACCTCTCCAAAATGCAGCAGGTAAGATGCATGGGGGAAGCACCTTACTTGTTGAGTAAGGCTGATATTCCAAGGATTCTTACAGGCCACAAGCACAGAAGGGACATGAGAGAGAACCTCAAAGTACCCACATCCCCCAAGGATGCCACTGGCTTTCTAGTAACTGGTCTTTGGTCTGCTCGTATCCCTTATCTGAAGTCTGGATGGAAAAATGAGATTGGAAGAGTTCTGCTTTTCTGGGTGATGAGCTGGTGATCTGGACTTTCCTGTTTGGAAGGGGATATTGTATTGGAGAGTGATAATAGGAATCAACTAACAAATATTTACCAAACAACTACGATATGCCAGGCACTCTGCTTAGTGCCAAAGACAGAAAAGAGGCAAAAGACAGCCCCTGCCCTCAAAGAGTTCACAGTCTTATGGGGGAGATTATATAAACAAATGTATACAAAGTAAGCTCTAAACAGGAGAAATGGGATGCAGAGCAGGGCTTGGAGTCAAAAAGACTTGAGTTCAAAGCCAAATTCAGACACTTCTTAGCTGTGTAATCCTGGGTAAGTCATAATCCTCATTTGTAAAATGGGGATAATAGCATTTGTCTCCCAGAATGGTAAGATAATTTCTAAAGGACGTGGTGAACTTTTAAACATTATACAAATACTAGCTCAAAATCTAGCTATAATTTTCTCTTATAAAATCACTCAAAATTAATTAATTTCAGGAAGGGAACAGTATTAATTTTGCCTCACAGAAAAATGAAGATGATACAAAAGCCTCCCAGAAACCCACAAACCTATTCAGAAAACAAATAAAGCACTTACGGTATCTCATAATCTCCCCAGCTCAGAGTTGTCATCAGGACATCAGCCCAACATTCTAGTTAATCCTTAACTGTCCTCCAGTCCTACATGGTTCCACTCAGACTGATACAGGAAGCTAGGTTGTGGTATGGATAGAGTGCCAAGCCTGAAGTCCAAAAGACTTGTGTTCAAATCTGGAGTCAGACATGGTATAGTATAGTATAGTAGTAGTATATATATATATATAGTATAGCAAAGCATAGTATAGTATAGTATAGTATAGTATAGTATGTATAGTATAGTATGGTATGTATGGTATGGTATGGTATGTATGTATGTTATTATGTATTATGTATAGTATAGTATAGTATAGTATAGTATAGTATAGTATAGTATAGTATAGTTAGTATAGTATAGTATAGTATAGTATAATATAATAATAATAGCATAATAGTATAATAATATATATATAATATATATATATAATATAATATATAATAATATATATAATATAATATAATATATAATTATATAATAATATATATAATATAATATAATATAGTATAATATAATATAATATAATATAATACAATAATATAATAATATAATAATAATATAATATAATATAATATAATATAATATAATATAATATAACATAACACATAAATAATATAATATAATATAATATAATAATAATATAATAATATAATATAGTATAGTGTATAGTATAACTCTGAGCAAGTCACTTAACCTCTGTCTTCCTTCATTTCTTCAGTTGCAAGATGGATATAATAATATCGACCCCTATGATCATTGTAAAGATCAA